CGTTTAAAATTCACAGGGCTTCGATTCTGTCCAGATTGATGAAGGTTTAAACATTAGCATTGGCTCCAGAGAGACGTTTAGCCGTCAACCTATTTTTTGGAATCAAGGCCCAACAAAACATGGGTTCTGATTACACAACGCGTTTGAGGAAGTAGTTTACTTATAACATTTATTCACTTTTTAGATATCAGGCCTCCACAATCGTTTTCTGTCGAAAATTCGCGTTTTTTTTCTTCGCAGAATTACGTTACCTTCTCTTAATTACGTTAGAGTATGCGAGAAAGTAAAACTTGGATAGAAATGGTACTGTGTAAGACATGTTAAATTCCATTTCGGCTTGTACGTTAACCATCAATCTACGTAAAACTCCGAGATGCATCAATCTACGTAAAAATCTGAGGTGTGCAGCTTTAGGTACAACGAGTAAGTTTTGCGGCAGGAGGACGTAGAGTGCGGTGGAGTGGCCACTTCGCCTCCGCGGCGGAGAATTTACCAGTGCGCCTGTGCACACACCGCTGCGCCCTTTCTCCGCCGTGACGGCGCCAACTGGCGGGGAGAGGCGCCGGGCGATGTACGTAGCGAGGCGGTAAAGACGTAGCGGCCTGCCGCGCTCGCCGACTCCAATATCCTTTTTTCTGCGATCGTATAAATCTGCGGGTTTTCTACGTGCTGCTACGCGTGCGTGAAGCTAGTAATTTCTTGAAACATGGGAAAAACGTGTCGTCACCGTGCGTGAAAGGCTTTTTTTCACGGTGTCGTGGCAAGGTGAAAAAAGACTTTCGGACACGGTAGATAGGTCGTAAGAAAGGCAAGAAAATAGAACACGTGTTAATGGCAAAACAAGTTTTATTTTTCACTATTATTAAATACTTCTCAATAACTAATAACTTATAATTCTCTGTTAATGCGTAATTAGTATGTAATTATTAACACATTATATCTTATGAAACTAGTATCATCTCTCATGTACATGTACACTAATTTCTCAACTGGCGGTAAGTTATTTTCGTAAATACCTTAGGAATGATGGGTAATAAAATACTGTTGATACTCCAGCGTTCGCACATCCAAACATCTCTTGGGAAAAGTCAGCTTCGCTTTTAGTAATTTGAAATTCAGTAATTATAACCAGAACCAGAACCACTTACATTATAGGAAATCGTATAATCGTGTGAGTCAATACCTTATTCAAACACGTACGGCACATTTCTCGTCATATTTCTATTAAACTGAACATGTAACCTGAACTGTATTAAACTGAACGCTTTTTCTAAATGTTAATATCTCGCTTTTGGTGAAAGTTTGGCTTATGTTATTACTACACGTGTTGTTCATTTCAGTGAAGGGCTTGAGGCCAGTAACAAGGTGAAACACATTTGGACCAAAATCGACATATTAACATTTGCGAATACTGCGGCTTGCTGTGTCTGGTGTGGCCTATCTTGTTTCTGACCCAAAGCCATAACTTCATTTATTAATCATTGAAGTTACATTTCAACGTTAAAAGCAGAGTCCTCTAATTTGTTTATCATCGGAATTATTTTTCGACTGATAAATACAACCCAATTGACGGTTTGCTTCGGATTATATTGTGCGACTTTCTGCTTCGAAAGTTTAAGCTGGCTTGAAAACATTTGAAAATGTGAATATTTTGTTACATTCAACTGTTCAGCGCTAGGTATGTTACGGTTAGGGACAGTAGTGCAAGTAATTGAGGTTATTGTATGGGTTTTATTTCATCTTATTACAATGCACAATATATATTTCAAAATGTAAATCGTAAAAGGTTTGCCATTTAGGATAAAGAAGGCAAGAAGAGTTTATTTGACTAGAATGAACAATTTGTTGACAACAGACAGTTTGAAGGTAAAGTAAATTAGTCGTTTCAAAGCATATCGTTGATATTGAAACAATAGAGACAGCAGTTGTGAGAATTACAAATGGAGGGCAGAAAACTGAAAAGAAGTGGCTTATTGATATAATGAGATAGTCCTTGAATCTTTTAGAACTCGTTTTTTGGAGGGATTGCTCTAATTTGTAAATGATCTCCCTTTAAAAATTTGTCGCAAGGTCTCTTTCAATTGCTCAGAGATATCATGATTATTGTTTTCCCTGTATCATTTTATCATTTCAAGAACTGATTTTAGGTTCTTAGTACTTTCTGCGTAATTCCTTGCATCAAGAATGAATAGCGAAGCTAAAAGCCTATAAATAGAATACATACAAAGAATTCAAAATGAAATATTGTTAAACAGTCTACATACATGACTGAGTTGATTCAAGAAAGTAGGAAGTCCGAAGAAGAGGCGGTAATCGAAAGGTAACTTTGCCGAAACAGAGTAAATTAGCCAAATCCATGCAGCCACTGATCGTCATGATAATGCCTTATGTTTAATGTACAATACGTTATATTTTATAGTATTATAAATTTTGTAATATGTAACTAAACACCCAAAGGGTAGTGAATTCATAAGTTTCGTTAAGAGGGTGATTCTAAGTGTTCTTTAAACGTGTGGTATACAGTTGCATAACAAAGACTTTTTGATCCACCATCAAACAATTGAAGTGAACTGCACTTTGGGCGGGCTGTGAGAATTGATTAGGGATGGAAGGAATAATTGAAAACCTGTGTTTCCTTTCAACCCTTAGCGTCACTAGTTAATGAAGTTTTCTGCTGCTGGCTGAACCTATTCTCGCTTCGCTTCCGAGCCCGGTGACAATAATTCTCTCTTCGCTTTTGCGTCCTCCCGACTGACCGGAAGCTATATTTTGGCGTAGCTCAGACCTTTAGCTTAGCTCGTAGCCTCCCAGACAAAAATTCGGCGTCCAAACTGATAATCATAACTAGTATAAGAAACCATCTGATAAAGTCAAGCCTTGCTACTTTAGACCCCGCTTCCTGTATTCAGCGATTTTTTGTTTCTTGTTGGGGTAAGAGGTATCTTACCGATCAGGATTACATTTTACATCCTAACATCTTATATGTATGATATTCTCTGCATTTGTTTCATTTCATTCCTCTATATTTTGTCCTCAAAAACGTTTTGGAGAATCTTACCTTTTCCAAGAACGTGCCCAGTTAGATTTTATACGCGTTTTTCGATTTCTTTAGGTGTCTTTCTTTCTCCTTCTCATTTTTACAGAAGCCTCTCATTACAGCTAATCTCATTCCTAAGCGTACTGGTAAGTCGCTTTCAGAACCTTGGCTCGTCTTCCTGGCTCTGGAGAAGCGGACGTGGGCGTGTGTGTGACGTGTGTGCGCGTGTTGTTGCAGGGCCGGCTGCGGCGGCGGGCGAACCGGCGAGAGCGCGGGCGAGGGCGAGGGCGAGGGCGATGCCGGCGCTGCGGCTGCTGGGGCGGCGGTGGCTCGTGGCCACCGACGACCTCGTCTTCCCGGGCCTCTTCGAATTCGTCTTCAGGCTCATCTGGTGAGTACTGCCTCGGTCAGGGGTGGATGAATGCCGAAGCAGACGAAACACGTGCTTTGAATCCCTGGAGAATAGATGCCTCGGAATATTGTCAACAGATCTTTTACGTTGGTGAAATTAAAAATATATCCATATTCATTTTTTAAATTGCAAAGGTGGTATTTTGTTTGCAAATTAATTTTTAGACCTATTCTTTTGTTCAACATTTCAACGTTATCAGTAATCTATATGGTTTGTTCATGCTTAGGGTTTCTTAAGTCATTAACCCGGCCTTGGTCTCCGCCAGTCAGCATTCACGTTCAGGAATTAGTTCCCCTTTTTTTACTAAGACATTTCTTATGGAATATAAAAACATGTATTAAATGTCACATTCATTAGGAGGTGCTAATGAATGTGAAATTTAATGTTTTTATAAAAAGGTGGACTACTTCCTGAACAAGAAATAATAACATAAAGTATATAAAAATAAAATCAGTCAGCATTCACATCCTCCACGGATGTCTCCGCTTTAGAGAAAGTAGTCGTTCATAAACCCGACTCAACAAGATACAATATTCTGTTCAGAAAAATGTTTATGCAACAAAGTGGACTAAGTTCCGTGATCATAGAGATTCCTGGACAAAATCACAATGTAGTTAGATTTTTCTGGCTGACATTCATTTAGACTGATCGTCATATGACTCATGAGAGAAAGCAGAAATTCACGCTGTGTGCTGCTTACGGTGGGATTTGAAGAGAGCATCTCACTCAGGGTAAACATGAGGAAAGGGGGCGCCTAATATTAATGTCATTTTAAACGGTGCAGTTCTAAATGTGTCATTTGCAATGAAACTTGAGACGTAAACGTAGAAGCTTAGTGAATTGTTATTCAATGGAACCATTCGCAATAGTGAACGTAAACGTTAATCATAAACGTGATGGTGTACATACTCAGACGTAACCGTGAAGCTTCGCAAGCCCCAAGCTTTCAAAACCCAAAGAACGTTTGCGTTTGTGTAGAAACTAACGTAGTTTGTGAGAGATAAATTTCCAGTCATCATAATTATCATTGTTACATTGAATAATTCGCCACGCTCGTGGAATACCAAACAATTACCACCTTCGCATGATCGCGTCTATTTTGCGTAACGTCATTCAATTGTATATAGAATTTCTATGCTGACGATTTATATAGTACCGATATCGATTGTATTGTATAGTATAAGACTGAATAAAATGAATTATTTCAGTAAATGTTGAAAACGTTTGAAATTAAATACCAGCATTACGTAACACTAAGCTACGACCCCCCTACTCCTAAGTACCGTTGCCTGATCCCCCTCCCCGTCTTTCGCGTTACGTAATGCATGGCTGACTTGTAAGATGAGCTGTGGCTCTCGTCGCGCGCAGGCTGGTGTTGGTGGCGCTGGTGGCGTGGAGCCTGGGCGCCGGCTGGGGCTGGGGCGGGGGCGGGGGCGGGGCCGGCGCCGCCTGCACCGACGAGGAGGGCGGCGCCGCGGTGCGCGCCTACCTGTGCGGGGAGCTGCTGCTGATCGCGCTCGCCATGGCGCTGCTGGCGGCGCTCGTCAACCGCAGCGCGCAGGGCTCCGTCATGGACGCGCGCGCGCGCCGGCACGTGCCCGCCCTCCTCACCGCCAAGTAAGCGGCCGGGCGCGCGCCCGCGCGGTGGTTGGCGGGAACGAGATAACGAGTGAATGAATTAATACATTTAAGAAGTGAAAAATAAAAAAAGAGAGAGTGATATGTGAATGAATGATAAGTGAAAATAAATGTGGGATGAATGGGTAAGTAAGTGAATGACGCATGGGAAGGAATTAAGGACGTGATGAATGGGTCGGAGAGTGATGAATGGGTAAGGGAATAATGAATAAGTAAATTTATGATGAATGGATAAGTAAGAGAATGATGAATGGATTTAGAGAGTGATGAATGGATAAAAAAGTGAACGGCGGATGAGCGAGTGAATGCCTAACAAGCGAATGAGTGATTAAAGGGAGGAGAATAGGGTGAGTGATTGGTTCAGTGGGTGAATGATAGGCGAGTAAGCAAGTGATGAATGTCGATTTAACGTCTGAAAGGGCAAGTGGATGAATGATACTTGTATATGGAGAGAATAAATATTTGCGGAGGGAAAAGGATAAATGATGAATGATGTAGTAGGCGATCTAATGGTGGAGTGATGAATTATCGAAAGATGTTTTAAATAAGTGAGCGGTGAAGGAATGGATAAGAGTACTGAATGAAGGAATGCATGAAAGGGTAATGAATGATTGAATAAGGGGGTGATGAAGGAAAGAACAAATGAATGAAGGATAATGAACGGAGGATTGTACGAGTGAGTGAAAGAACCAGTGTCTTTGAGGAAGCCCAAACGTCGCAGTCGCCGTGCCTAAATTGAAGGTCCACGTGCGCGCGTGTCGCAGGGTGCTGCTGATAGTGCCTGAGGTGGCGTGGAACATCCTGGGCACGCTTTGGGCCTTCAGCGACACGGTCCAGTGCAGCAACGAGGAGGGCTTCACCAAAGCGGTCATCGAAGGTTAGTACCAGGCGACGCTTGCCGCGAGGTTCACTGGAAAAGAAGACGGCTTAAGGCAAGACTGTGCCTAGCATAGACGCGCACAGATTAACCGGCGAGGAAAGATAATATAGTATACTCGGTAGACCTGCCTTCTTTCGTAGAGGGGATTACGAACACAAAATTCAATTAAACCTATAGAGGAAGTGAATGATGAGTGACAACATGGAAAGTTACACAGCTTATAAATACACAATTAGTATTCTTATTGTTAATAATTTCATGATAAATGTATAAATCTGTGATAAGAAATGTATTAACAATTATATCAAGAGTTAATACTACTGGAACTACAAACATGAAATTTAAAATTTGTTTTACGATATAGTACACGACTACTAAAAATATTTTTTCAAAAGGCGTAATGAGTGAAAAGAGGTGAAATAAAAGTTTGATACTGTTGGTTCTCTGAATTGTGCCTCTAATGTTCAAAGTTGATTGAAACAATTACTGTGGTAGTAACGATATATGTAGCGAACGTCGTAAAGCAAGGTGGGTCATGGCGAGATGTAATCATGGCTCTGTCGGGAGAGGCAAGGCGACGCGGGGAAGGAGAAAAGTCAGGCGGGAACAGTTGGCAAGGTTACTGGGGCAAAGCCTTTGAAGAGGCAAAAGGGTTTCTCTACATCGTTTTAATGCAATTCGCAATGTATCTCGAATTCCGAAGATTCAAACCACAAAAAAAATATCTTGCTATCGATCTTCGCAGCGTTCAAGTGACAATATCCTTTCGAAGATTAACCAAAAAATCCAAAGCAATCTTCTTTTAACATCTAGAAAGAAAAATCATGCAAGTTTGGGAAATTCGTATGATGGAAGTATCCATCATATAATTTTTTTAAATAATGCATTGTGACTAAATGAATAGACGTGTATTTTATATTCCGTTGTAAAATTTATTTCTACGGAGATTTATTTCTGTTATAGGTTTATAGATTTCTGTTTCCAGCTGAAGAGAAGCATTGATGTCCGATTATCAGAACGAACGTGCTGCGGCTAAAATTAGAGGCGGAACACTTATTAAAACGTTTATTTTTATTTGATATTTTTACACAATCTCCTTGCTTAGTTACCAATACAAATTCTTAAAGCAATATCTTCAGTTGTGCTTCTTTAATGTGATCTTTCTTTAATTGAAAGGAACGCTTTTTGTCTCTGCTATTTTTTCCCCTTCATCTTTAGACTCCCACGTTCGCTTCTGGGAGATTGAGGATATAAAAACCGTACAACTCCATTGGACGTTGATTAAAAGACTAATGGAAGTTTTATGAAATATACATAATGAAAGGTAATCTGTAAAAGCTTTATTAGATTATCTGGGAGAGTCTTGAGGTAAAAACAAGAATTTTGAAATTTCCTTCCTTTAAAATCAATTATTATTATTGATTATGAATTATTTATTATTATAAAACGTAAATAATAAATTTAAAAAGTATTTCTTTCTATTTTTAAAATTCATTTTAAATGTGAATAAGGTTGTTGCAATAAAATGTGCATTTGCAAGTTATTAACATATTATTCGACTTGTGCCGGATGCTTGTCCGACAGCATGCCATCCGTTTTTTTGGCATGCCGATCGTCGAAATGCCCGTCAATTTTTGAATAGATGAATTCTTAACTTCAGCTAACTCGTTCATTTTTAAAAGGCATCCATGATCTCGACATATTCCACAGAACTACCGGGGAAGGTAGTATGGATTGAGCTGAAGGCTTTGCTGATTTCGCTCGAAAATACAAAAACTTTCAAAGGAATAAATTTATTTACGACTCTGATGAGTTCACAGAACACCGTCTGTGTGTCTGCTCAGTAAAAATATCTTGCCAGTCGAAACACATGTCGCCGGTGTCTATTTGAAGAACAAAAATAAAACAGGAGTAATGTTGTCGTCCTAATATCGTGAAACCTCTTTCAATCATCAGCTTCTGTTGCTCCATTCCATAACTTTGAACAAGTAATCGTGAATTATTTATGATTTATTCACAAGTTGCTGATTCGAGTGTAATAAAAAGAATAGAGCCAAGTGAATTTGTTCTCATCAGAAAGCCGAAAGAAAAATTAAAGAAGTTGAAGTTTGAATACTTCTGTCTTCATATCTTGTTGAAGGTATAATATGTAAAAACCGCAATAAAAGATGTGTTTTATATACGTTTATTTCATTTTAATATTTTGTATTACAGGGGTTTTCTTTCTTGGCATATACATTTAGCGTAAGATTGCTGTACTCAAAATGAGTTTTCTTTGCTAATGATACAATCAGGAAGAAATTATCACGAGTTGCGAAATATTTATACCACTATTTCTCGTGTTTTTAAAAAGTAAAAAAAATATGATTTAAAAACAGTGTTTCTTTCCTTGCCTCTGCTGGTAAAAGTTGTTTTCATTTTTTACGATAAATAATTGAATAAATATCCCTGAATTCGACGTAGAACTCCTGGAAATGAAATATAACGATACACAGTACGAAAAACAAACTACGCGCTTCGCTACCTTACAATTTACATGGACCAACGAAATCATATGAAGTGCGTGACAATCTGCGGTACATGAAAATTAGTTTGTTGACTCTCGTTTCTGATTAAAAGAAAAAAATTCTTAGCAATTGTCAAACGGTGCAATATCCAGTTCTCGTTGTAATTTTAATGAACAACTTTTCTGTTATCTTGCAAAATAAATTAAAAAATGGAAGATATGCCAATCCCAATGCGAAGATTTAGGATTTGTCATTGTCGTGAAAATCTAAAATCAGTCTGTAAATTCAACCAGCAGTGTTATAGGTACCCGGATAGGATCACTGAGGAAGCTTGCTTGCATTTGTGGGCCGTGCATTCGCACGTTGTGGTTGGAATCCCGCATGCAAAGACATTTAATAAAAAATAAAGTACCTTTGGCAAACCCATGAAACGAGCCGGAAAAAAATTCTCTGTGCTTAGAAATATTTGAAACATACTTTATGCATTGATCGCTTCCTTTTAGACACATTTTTATCTTAGTATTTTAGTCTTAATAAACTTGTGAAATCGTGTAATTCAACTTGGATTATTTGCACAACATAGACGCGCCTTCTAAGAATTAGACTGTGTCTGAATAAGGAGAAAAGGGAACTTTTTGAAGTTTGGAGGAAAGACTTTTGTACTTGCCCAAAAATTAAGCTCGTGTATCTTGTAGATTGACGGAATTTGATGAGACTGATGGCACTGCTCTATTACATAAAATGTAAGAACTACGAACCCGATTTTAAAGGGTAAAATTTCAGCTAAAGCAAGTAAAGGTAAGTGACTGTTAAGAAGATACCAAAATGGAATTATAACCAGAAAAATACCGTTTATTTATTGTTTTTCTTTACAATGAAAAAATCATGCATGATTACATTTGGCATTCCAAATTATTATCTTTTTTATTCAGACTAGTATCTACTCGGCAGATATTGTTAATTTTTTTAGGGTAAATTCATTTCGTTTTAGGTGACATATCCAGTACCATTCCCCTTCTAAAATGCCCATTCATTCAATATGCGTACTACCCATTTCCGGGTGTTTAATTACAATCATAGATTTTCCCTACAAACGACTACCTCTTAACTTTTTAACAATTTGATTAGTACGTCTTTATTATGTATCCAATTCTTAAGACTGTGGCCGGATCTGGAATGCATGAGTTATTTGGTAGATAGGTGACAATATTCTTAGTATCACAATGGAGCAATGGTGGGATGAGAGGTAGGGAAAACAGGAGAACCTCCAGAAAATCTGCCGCAAATCCACTTTGTTTACCTACGCCGTTTGTTTATCGTGCGTGCTTGGTGAAAGTTTTGTTTTCCACAAGTATCGACCGGGATTTGAACCTTATTACTTGGACGGGAAGCTAGCTCACCAGCTTCTATGTTAAGTGTCCTCACTATAAATAAATATCAACATTTACATTTATCATTGCATTTTATTAGTGTTTTCAATAAAGAAAATAATTGAATACCGCATCAATACATGTTCACTGGGTTTGGCTTAGAACGGGAAGTTCGTTCGATTTCCTTGAACTTGCGTAGCGGCAAGCGCCTGAAAACTATGTTACCCGCTATTCAGGCATGTCAAACTTCGGAAGCAGGCTCTTTCGGTGACACTACCTCACGGCTCCTTATCAGTGCAATGAGCTGCAACCCGCTTGCCGTAGCAGCCTAACAGAGCGCAGGGCAGTATCCCAAACGAACTTCGTTCCAACAGCAACCTAATACAAGGATGTAATTTATTTTATTGCTTATTCTTAGTATGTAGCTTTGAATTATTGTACATTTCTGGCAAACAAAAAAATGCCGCATTAGTGTAGGTACCATTGTGAATTCTTACACTAACATAACAATTTCGAATATATTCTACTTTCATTATTGGTACATTATGTTTACATCTAATGTTGCTCATTTGCCGATGCAAATGGTTTCAAGTTTCGGGAGTGTACATTATTTTCAAATATAATCAACAACGCATGCTGTTACTTTAATCCCAATTCAACAGTGCAGTAAATGAGAAGGGTAGAGATTCCATACCTCCAGAAAACTGCACAGATTGTACTCCCTCGCCCATACGTTACATTCAATTTTTGTGAGTTTGTTGTTAAATAGTAAATAAAAATGATTGAATAATATTATTAGTTTCTCGTGTAACGTAGGGATTTCCAGCTTTTTCTTTCATTGACTCCTTTAAAAGAATTGTTGGTTCCATCGACCCTTATACATATTTTATTTTTTATATTATACAAAATCATAACACAATGAATTGCACATAAATGCCTTAAAGGTAACAATTTCATACAGCGAAGTTGTCGATTTTATTGCATGAAATCATGCCTTGAATTTTAATATTCGAATATGCTTCCGCTTCTATGTATAATGAGATGTGATCCATGTATAGCTGAGATTCTAATATTCGCTGTTGTGTAATGGTCTGTAATGTTGACTTTTTTTTAAACTAGCCTTAATATTTCTTCACAGTGTTTTGCGAAGAGTATTTTTTTGAGCAATAAAAGTATGATTGCGAATAAGTAGTTGTAATTTCTTGATTTCTATAAATATCCTAATTTCTAAGAATGTACTACGGATATGAACGAATAGCAACGAATTTGTAATTTATTATGTTTTGTTGCATCATAACAGAAAACAATTAAATAATAAGTTCAATCAAAGATTTTTTAATTAATGGGATCTTGAATATATTGATCAACAGAAGGTTCATATTAGTCTATTGTTTCCAGTCGACTTCTTGAACATCACTGCCCACCTTCAAATTGTCGACCTTCGACCCCCAGGAAGTCGATACTGGCCTCTAGTGTAACGTGTGTGCCTTGTGTGCGCAGCGATGGTGCTGTTCAACTGGGTGCAGCTGGCGCTGACGCTGCTGGGGCTGGCGCTGGTGTTCGACCCGCTGGGCTCGTCGCGGCTGGTGGCGCCCGCGCCGCCGCCGCCGC